CACACACCTCCATGAAAATGGAAATCCACAAATATTCAAGCCCCATAGACTTGAATGGCCGCACACTCATGTGTACGGCTTTGCATGCGAGCCACTCCATTTTAACCCTCTCCTCTTGCTGGTCCTTGAAGGACCGAAACTGCGGACCCAAAGTCCATGAAAATGGAGGGACAAGTGTATACAGATGACACCATACTACTAGCAGAAAACAGCAAAGATTTCAAATGATTACTGATGACAGTCAAGGAAGACAGTACAAAGGAAGGCTTACAGTTAATAAAGTTAAAATTTACAAAAAACATAAAAATAACAACCACAGATGATTTACCTAACTTTAAAGTTAAATAAAGACATTGAAACAGTGAAAGATTTTCTATAACCAGGGTCAGTCATTAATTAGAATGGAGACTGCAGTCAAGAAATCAGAAGATTAAGACTCGCAAAAGCAGCTATGAAGGAACTAGGCAAGTTTTTGAAGTGTCGAGATGCATCATTGAATTTTAAAGTTAGGAATGCCCATGCCATTGCATTTCCAGTTTCTCTGTACAGTAATAAAAATTGGATAGTGAAGAAACTGTCAAGAAGAAAATCAATTCATTTGCAATGTGGTTCTGGAGAAAAGTTCTATGGATACTGTGGACTACTAAAACGGCAAATAAATGGTTCTTAGAGCAAATCAGAGAGCCAACGTGGTGTAGTGGTTTCAGCATTGGACTACGACTCTGTAGACCAGAGTTCGAATCCCAGCTCTGCCATGGAAACCCACTGAGTGACCTTGAGCAAGTTACACTCTCTCACCCTCAAAGGACAGTAATGGCAAACCACCTCTGAAGAAATTTGCTAAGAAAACTCCTTAGAATCACCATAAATTTAAGTCAAAACAATACTAAAAGGAAAAATCAAGTATGAACTCTCCCTGAAAGCCAAGATAACTAAACTGACACTATTGTATTCTGGACATAGCATGAGAAGACAGAAATCACTAGAAAAGACAATAATGCTTGGTAAGATAGAAGGCAGGACGAAAAGAGGAAGACCACAATACAGATGGGTAAACTAAGGAAGCCATGGTCCTGAATCTGCAAGACCTGATGTTTTTACCTACATGAGTTTTTACTCCTATTTCTTTTCATCTTGTTTGCTGTCTTGAATTCCAGCCTTGGGGAAAAGGCGAGGTATAAATAAAGTACATGGATCAATAGAGGCACAGTGTGTGCTCTGCAAGTGAGCTATGATCCTGTCCAAAGAATGTCTCATCACAGGTATGTAACCTTGAGAATCCCTTCAGCTACCACTGTTCAGTTGAAGTTATGTTCTACTACAGCAAATTAGCTGTGTGGCTAAGCAGAAATTTCAATCCAGAGACAGGCAAAAGATAGATTTGGATCTACTTGTAGGATCTCTGGGCAATCTGTCAACAAAGAAAGAAAGAAAGAAAGAAAGAAAGAAAGAAAAAAAGAAAGAAAGAAAGAAAGAAAGAAAGATGTTTCCTATCTAAATTAGGCAGATGAAATGAAAAAAAAAGTGTGGGGTAACCACAAACAGAATTTTATGAGGAAGGACTGTATAGTCCAGTCAGGTTGTTACCCCAAACTCTGCCTTGATCTGTGCAGCCTAGTATTGTCAAAACCTGGCACTGGTTCTCCAGCGGTTTTGCCCTACCTGGAGATGACTAAAAGGCTGCATCAACACTGCAAAAATAATCCAATTTGACACCACTTTAACTGCCATGGCTCAATGCTATGGAATTTTGGGAACTGTGGTTTTGTGAGACATTTAGCCTTCTCAGTCAACGGACTCTGGTGCCACAGCAAACTATAATTCCCAGAATTCCATAGCACTGAGCCATGGCAATTAAAGTGGTGTCAAACGGGATTGTTTCTGCAGTGAGGATGCAGCCCAAGAATGCATGCAAAGCCTGTGCTCTTCACTGAGGCACACATTCCACAGTTCATCATGGCTGCAATTCAATAGCCCCTCAGTGTAGCATAAATATCCACATATACCCCCTCCTGCTGAGAATGAAAAACCCATGAACCCACCCCACAGACCCATTCTGTGCTTTGTGGCAAGTAGGCAAGCTCAGAGAAGCATCTGGCTATATAGCCAGACATAACATGATAACAGCTGCGCCAGGGTCCTCCAGGAGTTTCAGTGCTAATGTCATCATTTTATATCTGGCTATGGGGACCAAGACAGACACTTCTCCAAGCCTGTCTACAAAACCACCACAAAGCACAGAATGGCTGTGCAAGGCAGCTTTGAGGGATTTTGATTAAATTGGGGTGGTTACTTTGAGTGCTAGGGAGGAAGGAAAAGAATACTGTACCAACATTCATACTCCCCCTCCCCAAAAAAAGGGATATCTGCACATATAAGGGAAATTTACACATGCTTATGTCCCTTACAGGATTCCATCCCATGTGACTAGAATCACCATGTTATTTTACTCTAAATGCACATTGTTAGCATCTGTTTCCAATCGGTGGACCTAAGATTTCTAGTAAAATACAAAATAGATCCTGGCACCGCCTCTCCCATGTTTTTAGGACATAGCCTGTTCTGGTGATAACTGCTCATTTACTACAAAAGTAACAGTACAAGCATATGCACACACACACACACACACAACCATCCAGGATAGTAAACCCCAACATTCTTGTATGTAAAGTTTGTAGGGAGAGAGATGGATATTTTGACTGTCATACCTTATTTAAAACTTCCTTGAAGTTAGTTGTAAAGATTGGCAGGGTGTTAGACACAGGCTTTTTTCTTTTTAACAGTTAAAAGAAGGGTTGATGCGTGAGAAGTATCACCATCTAGGCCTATCATTTTAAGTTTATTGTTATTTTATTATCATATCCTGCTAACATATTTTGTGACAAGCCATCTAGAAATTATGCTAATAAGTCATTCTGAGTTGTTGTTGTTGTTAACTGCTTTCCAGTTGATCTATACTCATGGTGACCCTGTGGACGAGGGGATGCCAAATATAAGGGGCAAAAAGGAGTCATACGTATATGCACAAAATTGTTCAACTGGCTTTTGAAATTGTGTATCTGCAAGATAGGTATATCTGTACTTGCTCCACCTTCACTAGAATCTAACTATTCTATACCGTTCCTATTTCAGTAAATGTGTGTTGTGTTCCTCGCCACAATGAACTCATTTAGCTTACATCATATCAATCAAATCAAAATTTATTTACGATCAACTGATCAGATAAAGCTTACATCATAGATATGTGTGTGTGAATGCTAGAAGCAGTCCTATTTCAATAAATGTGTGCTGTGTTCCTTGCCACAATGAACCGATTTACGTTACATCATAGATATTTGTGTGTGTAAATGCCAACAAAATAGGAAGAGGACCGAAGCGTCTAAGAGTTGAAAGGCAGGGAACAGAACAGAATTTCTAAATCTATATACAGTAGCTTTAAAGTCCCTCAAAGTTGGTTTTCCTGCCTTTGGCACCCCGTTAATAAAACTCATCTCTTACCGACTATCTCTCACACACATAACATGAGTTGCCTACAAGCTCCTATGCTCTGCTTTTCCTCCTTAGTAGTAAAAATGATCACCCATCACCAGCCAGTTTATAAATAGCAAATAATTGCTAGTGAAAGAACTGGTGATGCATTCCAAAACCTATTTTGGGTGTCTTGGTACAGGGGAGGTTGTTAATCACAAAGCAAGCGGCAAGATCTTTGTCGAGAAAGGTGCATCAGGTGCTGAATCCATCTCTAAGGGGGTAGGAAGGGGAAGAGCCGAGAAACATGTCGAAGAGCAGTCTTTTGGAGTGGTGTTTTTGGAGGGCACTGCAGCCATGCCCAACAGAAAACGCTGCAAATCCAAGTGGCATATTTTGGTAGTTCTTTCAGATTAGCTGTGGAGTACCCAGAGCCCTCCAGATGTGCTGGACTATATCTCTCATTACTGCAGTCAGCTTGGATGATGTAGGCTGCAGTCCAATACATCTGGAAGATGCCAGGTTGGAAAAGGGTGCCCCAGGGGGTGGCACTGATCTAGCAGAACTATTTGCTCTTGCTATTGAAATTGTTTTTATTTTATGTGCAAATGTTGTTCCCCATCTGTTTTGCTTTCATGTGTTGGGGGATTAGCATAATGAATCAGACAAACCAAATAACTTGACAGATAGATTTTTGTGTTAGATTGTTGCTGTTGCTACAATTGATGCAAGAAAGGAGGGGCAGTCAAATAGATGATGAAAGGCTCCGATGGCTATTTTTTTAAAAAAAACAAAACAACTAAATCCATTTTTATACTGATACATTTATTAGATTATAAAACAAAGTGGCCTTGATCCCACTTGCCTGATCATCAGCCAAAAGCCTACTTGAGATTAGAGCAAAGCCTATTAGCATAAAGGGGGGGGTGGAGATGGAATATATTTACTTGGTGGGTGTTCAACATAACTCCCCCCTTCACCCACATACATGGAATAATCCACCCGGCTATTTGGTTCAGTGATAGGATGGAATCTTTTTTTTTTAATGTATGTATTTGATTTCCTATCCTGCCTTTCTCAGCATAAAATATGAATGTGAAGGTAAGTCATATGGAAAAGTAATATGAAATTAGAAAACTATCTCCATATGGTATTGCCAGCTTTCACTAACTGGGCACCTCCCCCAGATGTGTCAGACGACAGCCTCTCCATCTCCAACTAAGGTAGGATTTGATTCCAGCACATCTGTGGGGCCTGATTAGGAAAAGCTGGCATCGATGTTCTTACAACCTCCTCAGTGCTCTCCCTCTTTGCATCCTCTTTCCCTTATGCTTGCTTAACAACAACAGTCATGTCAAGGGGTTTCAGTGTCACAAGCACTCTGGCAAGGTGTGGGCGGGAAGTAAAGGCTCTCCTTTTTGGTTTTAATCTTTGAGAACAAAGAAGCATGCTGATAGAGGGTGTGCATGTGTGTGTAAGTGTGAGCGCCATGGCAAGCCCTCTGCAGAGAAGTTTGCCCAGTGCATGAGATTCGCAACAGTTGGAAGGGCGAAGCTTAGCAGCATCAGCAGCGATGGCGAGTAAAACACCACATTTGTTATTGATGCTCCTGCATGCTTCTTGTACTCAATCTCTCTCTCTCTCTCTTTCTCTGTGCATGTGAAGGTGCTTGGCAGTCTTTTTCGTTGTCTAGGGAGCAGTTTGGCTCTTGTGGCACAAGAAATGTAGGCTCATCTCCATGCAAGGAACAATGGGTCCCCATGCCAGGTGTGGGGTGGCAGCAGTGAAGGCCAAAAGAACAATCTCCTCCAGTCCTGGACTTTCTCTCTTGGATGGGGGATCCCAGGGCCAGAGCAACTGGGAAGACTTCACATGCGCTCCTCTGGAGGGTCTAACTACCTCTTCTGGGTGTCATCCAGTGTGGTCCACATTCCCTTAGTGATGCCACTGGCAAGAAAGCCCCTTGGCTCACATGCCTGAGGCAGTAATTCCTCTCAAGGTCCCAGAGGGTTGCCAAGGCAGCATTGTGTCCCTGCTTCAGCCTCACAAATCATGCCAGCCATCTCAGACCCCTACATGAGCCCACTTATAGGGTGCTTGCTTTGCCAGGCTATCAATGGGCACACACAGGGGTCTGGGATGCCTGGCATGCTTTGCCAGGCTGAAGTGGGCACAGGTGCCCTACAAGTAGGCTCACGCAAGTGTCCAGGATGCTTGCCACACTCTGCCAGATTGAAGCAGGCATGGATGCCCTACCAGTGGGCTCATGCAGGGATCTGGATTGCCT